TGGCCTAAATTTATGACGAAGTTAGATTTTTAAAAATTTTTACTGGAAAAGTCAAACATTTTGTTTTTATTTCATAATTGACAGTCCTTTTTTGTTTATAGTACAAAAAAATGCAGAGGTGATGAAATACCACTGAAATAAAGCTCTATTTGTGGGAAAAAAAGGACATACATTTAATTTATGTACAGTATTGCATAACCGCACCATTGTCAGTCAAAGTAACGCAGCGCCATATCACAAAAAATGGCCTGCTCTAGAAGGGGGGGGGGAATCTTCTGGAGGGCAAGTGGTTAACGGATGTCCCAACAGGCCTAAAATCTGTGCAATATGAATGATTTGGAATATGTTTTTTTACAGTCTTGCAAGCAGTCATGGACTGCATTTAAAAAAAATAAAAGGTTATTTTGACACAGATGTAACACTCCAAGTGCAGATAGTCTGCATTTGATCCATTATTCCTGGACACTAAAATATCCCTGTCTATTTACACCCTACAGGCGTCTTTGCCTATGTACAAGAGCCCTGAGAATACACATGATTCTTGTATTTAGACAATATTTTCTTATCCTGGAAATATACTTTAAAGCTAATCTTGTTTATAGAAAATATTTAAATATCTGGATTTCCATAGCCTGGTGACAGATTCCATTTCAACAAAATGTGGTTGACTAGTTATAATAGGATATGATACTACATTTTCTTAAAATGTGAGGTTTATTAACCTCCCTGGCGGTCTGATTATTTCAGATTTTTGGTGCTGAAAGCGGTACCATTTTTTTGCATGGAAATATGTATTTTTTTTATTGTAGGCCTGTAATTTAGGAATAACTCCCTGAAATCTGTCCGAACAAGAGTCTAGTAAACATTCCGGATATGATAAAACTTGTTATATTTTAATAAATACTCATAAAAAATAATAATATAATAATTATAAATTTAATTCAATAATATAATCAAACCAAAAACACTGAAATTTGAAATATAGCGCCAAGTTCGCACATCACTGAGCAAAGTCGCAAAATCGTTTTCAGTGTCTGATGACGAATTTCCCCACGAATCATTATCACTCAATTCTGCAAGTAGTTCTGATTTACTATCGCTGTTCTCTAACTGGTGTAAAACCGATTTTGACATAAAGGGACGCTTTTTGGACGTCATGGACTTTTCTAAGTTTCCAGGCAGAAAGAACAGTCAAAATGCAGGCAGGACACAGGGCGAAGCAGTAGGGACAAAATGTATGTGAAATGCTTTGATACAGGAATGTTTTACTATGAAATAATCATTTTAAAAAAAATGTCATTTTTTTTTAATTTTCAAATTTGCCACCGGTTCCGGCGCCCATATGTCCCGACGTCACAGGGACCGGAACACGGAAGCCAGATGCCGACATCGGCCAAAGGAGATGGCCGGGGACGCTGCAGGGGACACATCGTGGGAGCGAAGGACAAGGTAAGTGCTGTAGGGAATCCCTGTGCAACTCCGCATGGTAAGCCCGAGTGTAGCTCGGGGTTATTGCTTTTGGTACTGACACTTTACCCCGAGCTACACTCGGGAATACCGCCAGGGAGGTTAAACCCAAAAGAAAACATTTATTATATTGCAGCTTACCAATTCTTAGATGCAGTGGCTTTCTCTATTTTCATTTTTACTTTTTTTAGTTTCACCTGGTGATCTGGCCAGTAATTTTTTTTTCCTACAGAACAAGCTACCTTGCAGATGTAGCAGTCAGAGGTTTGAGATAATACATTTACCACTGGCAGAGGTGCTTACAAGGCATAGCTTTTATTTATTTATGTAAAACCTTTATGCCCGCCCCAAAAAAAAAACTGTTGCAGGAACTGCTTATAAAGTGTGAGCTGGAGTGTGGCTTCAGTTTATTAGTATATCTAAATCTGCTAGTACATCTAACACTCCCCTCCTCATAGATTGACAATGTCACTATCCAAATGTGTTTCTGTTGCTCCTTTGTCCAACATATAGGCAATCCAATATACGTAGTGTGTTACTGACCAGATCACCAGGGGAAAAAACCTAAAAAAAGAAAACTAATGCAGCCACCATATCTAAAGACTGGTAAACTTCAATGTTGGGTTTAACCTCCCTGGCGGTATGATTATTTCAGATTTTTGGTGCTGAAAGCGGTACCATTTTTTTGCATGGAAATATGTATTTTTTTTATTGTAGGCTGTGATTTTTAGGAAAAACTCACTGAAATCTGTCCGAACAAGAGTCTAGTAAACATCCCGGTATGATAAAATTTGAAACACAAAATCATAAATTATAATTTAATAAATAATCATAAAAATAATATAAAAATAATAAAAAATTTAATTCAATAATATAATTAAACCAAAAACACTGAAATGTGAAATAGAGCGCCAAGTTCGCACATTGCTGAGCTCAGTCGCAAAATCGTTTTCAGTGTCTGATGACGAATTTCCCCCACGAATCATTATCACTCAATTCTGCAAGTGGTTCTGATTTACTATCGCTGTTCTCTAGCTGATCTAAACCGCTTTTGACCTAAAGGGACACTTTTTGGACGCCATGGACATTTCTCAGTTTCCAGGCAGAAAGAACAGACAAAATGCAGGCAGGGCACAGGACAAAGCAATAGGGACAAAATGTATGTGAAATTGGTTGAGACAGCAATGTTTTACTAGGTAAAATGTAAAAAAAAAAAAAAATGACATTTTTTAAAATTTTTAAATTTCCCGCCGCCGGCGCCCGTACGTCCCGACGTCACAGGGACAGGACACAGAAGCCGGATGCCGGCATCGGCCGGAGGAGATGGCCGGGGACGCTGCAGGGGACACATCGTGGGAGCGCAGGGTAAGGTAAGTGAAGAACACTTGCCGGAGCAGTGCCTCAGGGTAAGCCCGAGTGTAGCTCGGGGTTACCGCTTTTGGTACTGAAATGTTACCCCGAGCTACACTCGGGAATACCGCCAGGGAGGTTAATACTACTTTAAGAATAAGTCCCAAACTTTGGGTACCAGGCAACAGGCCTGTCCCTTACTCTTCCAAGTAAGGGGCTATATAATGACAGGTGAGTGGGGCTCAGCTTTTATTTATTCATGTAAAATCTTTATTCCAAAAGGTAACTGCTTATAAAGTGTGAGCAGGAGTTTGGCTTCACTTTGTTAGTGTATCTAAATCTGCTAGTACGTCTAACACTCCCCTCCCAGCAGACTGACAATCCTGCTGTCCAAAGGTGTCTCTATTGCTCCTTCATCCAGAATGCAGACACCTTAAAATATAACTAAAGTCAAAACTTTTTTTTTCTTTAATTTTGGATACAGTGTGGAGGGATTAAAACCTCTGTAAGTTCTGATTGCTGTCTGTGCCCCCACTAAGGAGATTCACCCTCTCTATGTGTCCTATTTACTGTTCATTGAATCATTGAAAGTGAAAGTAAAAGAGTCACAAATTTTGGGTTGTTCCCAAAAAATGGGAAATGTTCCAAGGGGGACACTCATTATGGTGATCTGGGGGTCCCCAAGGAATTCCCCTAATTTGCAGGGATTTCCGCTCATCTCCTGTTTGGCTGGGGGACAGAAAGTAAAGGGAATACCAATTTGAAACAGATGGCAGAAAAAAAAATCTGATGGGGGTTATAACCCTCCCTTAGACTGGCCGTACACTATACAATTTTCTTTAGAAAATTGCTTTTAGATTTACCAAAAAACATTTAATATGAGGTCAAACCTAAACAACACTTTCCAATTAGGCAGGCCCTTGCACTACATAGTTTAAGATAAATCTAAAGGAAATTGGGGAGAAATTGGACAGAAAATTGTATAGTAAATGGCCAGCCTTGGTCTATCCAAAAAGAAACAAAAATGCCTATAGTTCTACTTTAATACAGGAAGAGTGCTACTGGATAGATCACCAGGTGAAAACAGAGGGGAAAAGTCTAAAAACAAGAAAACGAATGCAGCTACCATATCTAATGATTGGTAAGCTGCAATATAATACATTCATGATTTTGGGTTTAATGCTTCTTTCAATTTGTGTTTAAATATTGGAAATCATTTGCTAATCGTTTGCTAAGTAATTTTTACTTTCAGTGTTAAGTAAAAAAAAAAACGAGTTTAGAGATGCCACATTGATTTAATACAATTGATGTGTTGAGTACTCTTTGTAATTTCTCCTTTGTTAACTGCAGTTCTGTGTAATAGAGCACACCATTGTATACTATTCAATAGAGCCATGCACTTTGATGTAATGAGTAATGCAGCATTTTTATTTCAACCTCATGGTTTGAGACCTGATAGATACTTTATTGGCTGTCACATCTGTATTGTTTCATGTCTAAAGAGATGGTTAGCATCTGCCCAAGATCAAACAGATCTTACCGTTTGAACACCCAAGGTAGGAATTAGATAGTGGTTTGTTGGTAGGAAATACCAATCGGCGCGATTTGTCACCGGCTGTGTACCTCGGACACGGCCGAAGACAGATCTGAGTACCGGCCCCGTTGCCGGTACCATGTGACCCACTGTGACAGTTGTATACAATGGATGGCTTCCTTTCATGCCATTTATTGTATACTAGTGTGTCTAGCTGTGAATGGTCACAGCGATCACATGCACAAGCTGGGCCAATCACAGCTCAGCTGTGTCATGTAATTAGCCATGGCCAAATCACAGCTAAGCACAAAAAAAAAAAACCCTGAATGAATCAATGTCATTCAGGTAAATGCTTGCTCGCACGGGAACCTCGATTCCCAGTATGGTTGCAATTTCCAGTGCGGGCTGTGTGCCATTAGAATTAATGGCACCCGTCCGCAGGTCTGCATTCCTCTGTGCTGGTGGTGCGGCTGCACGGATTTTGTGCGGATCTGCAGCGGCACCACCCGCACCAATGTGAACCTAGCCTTACTCAGGGGCAAGAGAAAATCATTGCTATTAAAGTAAACCTGATTTGCCAGGCATTGAGAAAACACCAGGTTCACCTTAACCTCCCTGGCGGTATTCCCGAGTGTAGCTCCGGGTAAACTTTCAGTACCAAAAGCGGTAACCCCAAGCTACACTCGGGATTTCCCTGCTGCGTTGCTCCGGGATCCCTGTTTCACTTACCTTGTCCTGCGCTCCCGTGATGTCCCCCCTGCAGCATCCCCAGCCATCTCCTCCGGCCGATGCCAGCATCTGTCTTCCAGGTTCCGGTCCCTGCGAGCATCGGGACGTATGGGGGACGGAGCCGGCGGGAAATTCAAAAGTTTTAAAAGTGACATTTACTCAATACACTAAAATCACATAGTAAAACATTACTGTATCAAACCATTTCACATACATTTTGTCCCTACTGCTTTGTCCTGTGCCCTGCCTGCATTTTTACTGTTCTTTCTGCCTGGAAACTAAGAAACGTCCATGGCGTCCAAAAAGCGTCCCTTTAGGTCAAAAGCGGTTTTAGACCAGCTAGAGAACAGCGATAGTAAATTAGAACCACTCGCAGAATTGAGTGGTAATGATTCGTGGGGAAATTCGTCATTAGACACTGAAAACGATTCTGCGACTGAGCTCAGCGATGTGCGAACTTGGCGCTATATTTCAAATTTCAGTATTTTTGCTTTGATTACATTATTGAATTAAATGTATTATGATTATATTATTATTTTTTATGATTATTTATTATATTATAATTTATGATTTCGTGTTTCAAATTTTATCATACCCGGGATGTTTACTATTTCAGATTTCAGTGAGTTATTCCTAAAAATTACAGGCCTACAAATAAAAAAACGACATATTTCCATGCAAAAAAATGTACAGCTTTGAGCACAGAAATACTGACATAACCAGACCGCTAGGGAGGTTAAGACTGAATATATAGATTTCTGCAAAGGCTCCATTGTGACTGGTTATCTTGTGTATCATCAATACAGGATTCCAGTCACTTTTAAAAATGATTACGTTAAGATTATATGTAGATTTACTCAGATCAACTACATTGGTGTTACTACTAGGCAGTGCCTGGTTCCACTTCAATACACAAAATTCATTTTTTTTGTTTGTGCAAAATGTTCCTGCAATAAACAGCCTCAAGAGCGGTTATTTTATCTGTGTACATCACGCACATGTCATGCTGTTTCTCTGGCTGAAGGACTATACAAATAACTAACACAGACAGAGAAAATTTGCTGGTAATATGGGTAGTGCAGAAAATGAAAACTTATTGGCATGGTGCATAAGCTGAAACCGAATTTGCAGATGCAGAACAGCTATTATTGGTATATTAAAAATTGAAGATAACACTGGTAAGCAACCTACAAACATGGAAATATCACAGCCAGCGGGATTTTATAATAAAATCAGCAAGAACTGCTGGCACAATTGAAAAATAATACAGTGTTTGGCTTATGTAAAGAATCTGTGTCAGGAAGCAGAATAACACAAATAAAGTAACCTTAGGCCCTGAATAAGATTACCTCTATAAAAAATAAATCACAATCCATTCATTTTTGAAAAGTCATATTGAACTCTGCTATTCAAAATGCTTTTTTTTTCATTTTATATATTTAACTATTTCTAAGAATACTTCTATTTTACTTGCATATCATATTTGAAAATGTAGAATATATACCCTTAGACTGTGAAATGTCTGCGTATGGCCCAAATACTGTACACAATGAACCTATAACAGGTAGTGCATTCTACAAGGATGTGCTCTGATGGGTATAATAGTATTATTATGGAGCTGATTTGCTAAAAGACGTATGTTTTTCAATATTTTCACACAATATTTACACAACTTGCATGCAAGATATAAGCATTTTTCTAATTGAATCCAGTTAGAAAAATACAAATACATGAATCTTGTGTAAGAGTTACATGGATCTTGTGTGAAAGAAAAGTATAAATAGAACCCATGTATACTTCTAGGAAAAGTTTTATTTTTTATTTCTTTTTCTTTCCCTGTATTTCTGTGGTATTTAAAGTGGTCACATTAACCTCTTCTGCACCGCCCTATTGCAGAAATACTGCTATAGGGTGGTACAGCAGCGCAAAATCACGTGTATATATACAGGATTTTGCATTTCTGGGTGGGGGGGGGGTGCTGCCATTCGTGGGCTTTGCTATCAATCACCGGGTCGCGGCCGGTGATTCCCCACCGCCACCCGGAAATCACCAAGTATCACTGACGGGGGAGAGACCTGTATGCAGGGGCGGACTGACCATTTGGAAACTCGGGCACTGCCTGAGGTCAGTAGGGGGCCCCATGAGATGCCCCTGGTACCTTTTTCATAGGCTTTTTTGAGTTTGGGCAAGGTCACAGGGGCCCCATGATCCCCTATTGCCCGGGGGCCCCATGAGTTGTCAGTCCACCCCTGCCTGTATGTAAACAATATAGATCTCTCCCCTGTCAGCTCCTGCACATTGCTTTGTATTGCTCTGCATAGCAAAGCAATACAAATCAGTGTGCTAACAGCGTAAAGCTCACACACAGCACACAGTAAAACAGCACACAGTTAACCCTCTGATCGCCCCAGATGTTAACCCCTTGCCACCCAGTGTCATTAGTACAGTGTCAGTGCTTTTTATTAGCACTGATCACTGTATTAGTGTTATTGTGATGTCAGTGGCAGTTAGTGAGTTCCCCCCCAGTGTCAGAATGCCCGCCGCAGTCCCGCTATAAGTCGCTGATCGCTGCCATTAATAGTGAAAAAAAAAATTCCAGTATATATACCGCCATTTGTAGATACTATACCTTTCACGGAAACCAATTAATTTACAACACGTATTGGCAATGACAAGTAGCAGAATACATTTTGGCCTAAATTTATGACGAAATTTGATTTTTTAAATTTTTTATTGGACATGTTTAATAGCAAAAATTCAAAAATATTGTTTTTATCTCAAAATTGTCGGTCTTTTTTTTTTTTCATAGCGCAAAAATAAAACATGTACAGGCGATCAAACACCACCAAAAGAAAGCCCTATTTGTGAGAAAAAATGGAAGTAAATTTCATTTAGGTGCAGCATTGCATGACAACACAATTGTCAGTTAAAGTAACGCAGCACCGTATCGCAAAAAATAGCTTGGTCAGGTAGCGAGGTAACTCCTCTGGAGGGTAAGTGGTTGAAGAGGTGAGGTGGTCTGTGCTAAACACAGCACTTAGTCAACCCTCATGTGAGGTTTGAGTAAGCACTGAATTTAGTGCAAAACACATCACATTTTTAATGTTCCTGTCATACCTGTGATGTCATTTTAATGGTTCTATAAAGATACTAAGGACTGCAGCAATATTCGTGATTTGTGCATATTACTCAGTGGTAAGAAAATCAGCCTCCCTAACTCTATTAATGTGCTGTGGGCATTGAGGTTGTATTTACTTAAATTCTGAAATTGGTACATCAATTCACAGTAAGTGCACAGGACATAAGAAATAGAGAAACAGAAACTTGGCAATAGAGAGGAGACTGCATTCCTAATTGTTTTCATGTTTTCTCTATTTGCAGCATCAGTACTCTGTATATCTGAGACTGTATAGCAATTACAGTATATGAATCCCTTCAAATGAGCCACCAGACTTTCCACAATGTCCATGCTTACACCTGACTCCTCTGTACAATATTCCAGCAGACAAAGTTCCCCTCTGGTGCTCCAATCCAGGTTCTAGCTTCACTCCTCCTGGATATACTGTATCATCCGACCAGGCAGTGCAAACCTTTCTGTTTTCTCCTTGTGATTGTGACCCAGATCTACATGTGTGTATGACCTGTTTCATCTAAACTACCCTTCTGCCTAACCCTCCTGTGTTATCAGACTTTCTGTTACTACTTAGCCTGCTCTGACCTTCTACTCCTACTCATCAGTCTTCGCTGCCCTACTGACATCCAAGTACCAGCAAGCCTGCTAGCCTGCTCTGCCTACAGTCCTGCTTGTGGTATGTACTATTTATTACTGAATTATCTGCATACGTAGCACAGCTATATCACCTATACTCCTGCCCTGACAGATCACACATTTAACAGGGAAAGCAACCTAATGGGTTCCACACAAGCACAGATGTTTGCCCAAGTTCATCAAGTTCAGGAACTGATCACCCAGCTCACTAAGGTACAATCTCTTCTTACTACCACCACTGCCAATACTCTGGCACCTTAACCAAACATTCCTTTCACTGATAGATTTCTGACAACTGTAGGGGGTTCTGTAAACACAGAAGGTGCAAATCATCATTTTGTAATTCTAGGGTGACCGCCAGACCTGGGCCTTTAGCCTGGAAATAAACTATCCAGACTTACTAAGAGTACAGTAGATGCCTTCTTTGAAGCCCTGGGTTTGCTGTATTGAGACAGATCATGCTGCTGAATCAGCCCTGTGTAACTTGCATCAAAGGGCCAACTATGCTGATATATACTCTTCAGGGTTTCACAGGTGGACCTCGAAATCTGGATGGAATGATGTAGCACCCCTCAGTTAATTCTGAATTGGCCTTTCCAAGGCAATTAAAGATGCTTTGGACATTTATCCCTACCCATTATCACTGGAGAAAGCCTTGAAATTGGATTAATCTTAATTGACTGTCACCAGCGGGAAAAGAGACAGGAACTTGGCACAGTTGACGCATAACCTGTGCTTTCCTTGACATCAAATGCCAGTGCCATGTCGGAGGAAGAACCTATGCAGCTAGGTTCAACCCATTTATCTGTTCGGGAACTCTCATGCCATCGTGACATGGGATTTTGTTTTTATTATGGCCTCAAGGGTCGTATGAATTGCTCTTGACCAACATGTCCCAGGATCCTAGTTGATTGTGAAAAGGTCTTATTTCATCTCCTCAAACGGATAATTGCTTAAACATCCCTGCTGTTATCCAGTATGGAATTGGGTCTCCTGAGCTACTGGCCTTTGTGAATTTCAAATCACTGGAAAATGTATTGAAAAGCTCTGGTCACTCGCTTGTCTCTGAAAACACATGCTCTAGACTGCCCTGTCCATCTGATTTCTGTGGATAATCAGCCCCTCTCACAAAACCAAGTGCTAAGGGCCACTAACCTTTTCCAGCTACAAGTGGGACCTTTGCATAGGGAGAAGATTTCTTGTCTTGTCATTAATTCCCCACCCGCACCTTTGATTCTAGGCCTTGATCTCCTGTCTTGACAATGAGAAGTCAGAAAACAACTGTACACATATCCTCTCCAGGCAAAGCCTGAGAGGCAATAGAGATTCCAGAAAATCCCCCCATATATTTATACCATTTCCCGACATGCACCATTGACAGTAAAACTTATAATGGCTGGCCAGGGAGAAATAAATATTCATAACTCAGGCTATTGCCAGGGAAACTCCTCATCCGCAAGCAGAACCAAACAATAGCCTGAATTTAGTAGAAGAACTACAG